TATAACAGCAATTTTACAATTGTAAAAACTCATTTAAAAGATTTTTAATACAAGTTACATGTCCTTCAATAGTTTTTTTTTTAAAATTTTGCGTAATTAATGAAACTATACTATCATACATATTAAATTATTCTACTATGTCAAATATCTTTTAAGAAGCATGTATAACTTTAAAAGAAAGTTTGTATAAGTTTGTAAATAAAAATTAACAAGTTAATAATTGAAATAATAAAGAAAAAAAATTAAAAAAACAACGTTAAACTTTGCGAATTAAGCAGTATAATCTACTTTTCTTACCTTTTACTATATGGTAGATAGTACTTCAACTCTTAAGAGATCTACCTTGTATAGCATGATACAATATGATACAACTTGGTTTCTTGACAAGTTGTTTATTATGAAGATATTTTATTAGTAAAGTATTGGATGTTTAGTTTTTTTTTTAGTTCACTTATACCTGAAAATTCTGTTTTACACTACTATCTTATATAAATACTTGTGTAATATCGATCCTAAAAATTATCAGATTCGAATATCCCCCATGCTCTTAATAGTATCAGCAAATTTATAAGGGCAAAAAATTTCAAAAAAATTTGCAATATGCAAAAATAATAAAAATTTTTTCAAAAATTTTTATTATTTTTGCATGCTACAAATTTTTCGAAATTTGCTATATATATAGTTAGCTATTTGATATATTTTGTAAAAAATCAATTGTTACAAATTTTATGATACTAATTTGAAGATCTTTACACTTTTTAAAATATATTATTATTTTTTGATCTTTAGATATGTATAATTTTGAAATATTTATTTCGAATAACTAAAAGTTTACGATCTTCTGCATTACTGATAATCTACTATATGCATGTTTATTTTTTCGATCTTATTAATTTTTTTTAAACTTTTTCAAACCTTCGATCTTTTTAGATTTTTTTTTTTGTTTTAATTTAGATTTTTTATTTATTTATTGCTTTTTACTAACCAAGATTAAGATCTTTTGAACTTGAAACTAGTTTTAAGATAAGTAATACAGTCATCCCTCCATATAGTCACCTCCCATACAGTCACAAACTCTATACAGTCACATGATTTTAAATTTCTGTTTTTTTATTATGAAAATTCTCTCTATATAGTTACAATTATGCTATAATCACTATCACATTTTTTTAAAATTTGTTGAACGATTTTAATAATAAAACTCCTTCTATATAATCACAATCTAAAAAAATTTTTTTAACAACATAATACAGTATTTGATTTCATTTTCGTAAGCAAAAAATTATTTGCATTTAAACTTCTATAGAAAATTGATAATATAGTAATTCTGATTGTGAGAAATATTTCGTATTGTGATAAATATAAAGCGAATAAAGGTGGTGCCAAATATGTGGTCGCAACATGACAATTCGAGAAGGGAATAGTGGAAATAATGACGGTTGCATTAAAGAGTTTCAGCCAGAATTTTTAATTATAGATTTATGATCAAATGGATTCCATTTAATAGACTAAGCAATATTGAAAAGATTCTATATATTCTGCAACATGATTGGGTGATAATAAAAACTTCTAAAGGTTATGACCGGAATTTATGGAACTCTTAATTGCTATGCTGAGTTATCAAGGCGATTTGTAGATTTTGACTTACAAAAATGATCTTTTACCAAGAACGTCAGGCAAAAATTTTATGAATGGAACAGAAAAGATTTTAAACATAATATACTTAGATCAACATGAACTATTGCATAAACCATTTAACAACTTTACTTGCTGGTGATTCATGGTTGGCCTACAAATTGACCCACGGGTGACCTATGGGTTGTCCACCCAGGTTCAATCACTATTGTCAGTGAAATGAGCACCACCAATTTACTAATTGGATCAATTTAAAAAAATAAATGATAGAAGATGAAAACTTGCAAGCTTTTAGCTAAAAGGATTTAATTCCCATAGCATTGCTTAAATATATCAGTATCCGAATTGAATTTTTCTGCTAACTTTCATTTAGTATCACTCAAATAACTCTCATGTTAGTTATAAATAATAAGCATATTTGAGTGTTGACAAGAGAAAACCTGTAAGTACAATTTTAAAATTTTACCGTACCAGACTTAAACTCTGAAAACCGTGATATGAACTATACATTAAAGGAGTTATAATCAGTATTTTCAGAAGTCCAGTTTGGCGAAAAATTTACATTGCACTTAACAAGTTTCTCTTGGCTACACTTATTTATAATTACCAAAAGAAGTTCATATAAAAAGCAAGAGGAAAAATACAATAATCAATGGTGTACATATATAACCTGCATGAATTTGAGGTCTAAATCATTCCAATATCAATCATGTGAACTTGAGATCACAAACTCATTATGAGTGCCACCAAGGGAAAACCCACAAATTTATCTAATAAAATTTGCAAGTTTTTCTTTGGTAGCACTCAAATTATTATCATTTTCAAAATTTCACTGTAGACTTTGCAAACCGTGATATGAACTATATATTAAGAGAGTTATAATCAGTATTTTCAGAAGTCCAGCTGGTGAAAAATTTAACAGGTTTTTCACTTATCTATAATTACCAAAAGAAGTTCATATAAAAATCAAGGGGGAAAATCAATAGCGTATATATAAACCTGTATGAATTTGAGGCCTAAATCATTCCAATATCAACACGTGAACTTTAGATCACAAACTCATTATTAATCTAATAAATTTGTAATCCAAATGAGTGCTGCCAAGGGAAAACCTGCAAATCTTATCTAATAAGATTTACTTTGGTGGTACTTAAAATATTATCGTCTTTCAAAATTTTACTGTACCAGACTTAGATTCTGAAAACTGTGATATGAACTATATATTAAAGGAGTTATGATCAGTATTTTCAGAAGTCCAATATGGCAAAAAATTTACATTACACTTGACATGTTTTTTCTTGGCTGTACTTATCTATAATTATTAAGACATGTTTTTTTAAATATATAGAAAGCAAAGGGAAAAATACATTACTGATATACATACAAGCCTGCATGAATTTGAAGCCTAAATCATTTTAAGATCAATCGCGTGAACTTGAGATCACAAACTCATTATTTATCATATGAATTTGTAATCCAAATAAGTATTACCAGGGAAAACCCACAAATCTTATCTAATAAAATTTGCAGGTTTTCTTTTGGTGGTACTCAAATCATTATTGTCTTTCAAAATTTTACTATACCAGACTTAGACTCTGAAAACTGTGATATGAACTATATTAAGATAGTTATGATCAGTATTTTCAGAAGTTTGGTATGTACTTAACAGGTTTTTTTTGGCTGCACTTACCTATAATTACAAAACATGTTTTTTTAAATCTTCAAAAAGTTCATATAAAAAGCAAGAGGAAAATAATTAATAGCATACATACAAACTTGCATGAATAAAAGGCCTAAATCATTCCAATATCAATTGTGAGAACTTGAGACCAAAACCCACTATCTACCACACAAATTTGTAATCCAAATAAGTATCACCAAAAGAAAATCTGCAAATTTAGATTTGCAGGTTTTCTTTTGGCAATACTTAAATTATCAGTCGATCGCAAGATTTACTAAACAGAGTATATAATTAAAGCTTGTTAATAACCAGAATATGAATTAATGTAAACTGGAAATAACAATAGATAATTTAAAAAAGGTGAAAATTTAAAATTTCCAACTCTAATTTTACTTGGCATTATCTATATATTTTCAAATAGAGGAATTTATGATTGTATTTGCCATTACAAAAATCAATAAAATTCGTATATAGCACACTGTAAGTATTTAAATATAAAAGGAACCATTAGTTCCATAAATCCTTTAGATAACATTCGGGTGAATACTTTCTTTATTATGTCATCTAAACATTTACTGCAAAAAAGACAAAGAACGGCTGTTAATGAATATTTAAAACAAAAAATATGTGAATATAGTCAAAATAATCCTAATCAAAGACAAATAGATATAGCAACCCATTTTAATTCTCAAGATCCCAATTTAAAATTAGATCGGTCTATGGTTTCTAAAATATTAAAAAATAAATCAAAATAGTTAATGGTTACTAAAGACCAATTAAGTTCTACTGTATTTCGACATAAACAAGTAAAATATCTCCTATTGGATTAATCAATAAGAATCTGGGTCAAACAAGTTACTAATAGTGAAATATTTTTAACTGAACTAATGATTAAAGAACAGGTAGCGGATTTTGCAAAAGCTTTGAACCTGGGTGAAGATGCTTTAAAATTTTCAAATGGATAGGTTCATAAGTTTAAACAGCGCAATAATCTTAGAAACATTAGATTATATGGAGAAGCTAATAGTACGCCACTATCTTCGCTTCCTGAATATCGAGAAAAATTGTATAAATTGATTGAAACTATACATTAGATAACGTGTTCAATGCAGATGAAACAGTGCTTTTTTTTCGTATAGCACCAGACCAAACACTTGTATCTCAATCAAAATCTGAATTTAAAAAGGTTAGTAATTATATTAGTCTATTCTGAATTAATTCTTTGTTTAACATAAAATATTTTTTGTAAGAGAGGAGGGACAATAATTTCATTGGCTATAAAAAAAAATATAAAAAATAATACTGCAATTTGATAAGTTAATGTAATACTTTATATATACAGTCGGATCTCCCTAAATGCATATTCTTTAAATGAATAGTCTATGAAAGACTTCTCTAAATACATGGCCTTGTTGGCCCCCAACTCATATGACATTTATAGATTTTTACCTTCCTAAATGCAATATCTTTTTAAATACAAGATTTTTTGGCCGCCTCATGGCTATGCATTTAGAAAGGTCTAACTGTATGTATTTTTTAAAAAAATAAAGAGAATTATGTAAAACAGAGAATTAATTTGACGTGTCTTATAATTAAATTTAATATCGTTGTTGCTATTTTCTGATGGTCATTTCACTAACAGATTATTTATCTGGCATCACATTGGGTTAGAATCAATATTTTAGATGCAGGTATATATTATTGGTAAATTATTACCTTGTGTAATATCAGGTAAATGGCTCGTAGTGAAGGAACCACCAGAAAAATTATATGCAACCATTTAATTTACATATAATACATTTTAAACATTTAATTTTTGTATGATAATTAGGATCGCTCATGAATTACTATTATGTTAGCATGCAATACAAGTGAAACAGAAAAATTAAAACCATTAGTGATTGGGTCTTCAATTTCTCCTCATGCGCTTCATAATGTTAATTATGATTCATTACCTGTTCTTTACCGTGCAAATTCGCGAGCATGGATGCGAAATGACGTATTTTCTGAATAGTTAATAAACTTGGATCAGAGGTTTCACATTCAGAATTGCTAAGTCTTGCTAATAGTAGATAATGCTTCATCGCATTTTTATGACCAATCTAATACTTGTGAATTAAATGAACCAATTGAATCAAATTTTGATTTGGATGAAGAAACATCTAATAATTCAGAACCTGAGGTGATAGCTGTTTCGTGCAGAAATTGTCGAGGTCGAGGTCAACCAAGATTAACCAGACCCAATCAGAGCGCAAGTACTAGTCATGGTAGTCATAGTAATCGTGGTACTCGTGGTAAACATAGCACTGGCGAGAGTAAAGACCGTTACGGTAGTGGTTACGGTAAACCACGTAATATTGCTGATTATTCAAATGTACAATTGACTAATATTAAACTTGAATTTTTATCTCCAAATACCACTGCTCATTTTCAACCCATGGACGTGGGTGTTATCAAAAGTTTCAAATCCAAATATAAACAAAAATATATTCGTCACATACTAATGCAGCTTGGAAACAATGAAGATTTAAAAAAAGTTAAGAACTTACCCTGATAAAATTAAAAAAATTCACTGTGTTGAATAGCACGATTCGAATGCTACTCAAACTGCTATTCAATACTACCACATGATTTCACAGACATGCGTGTCAGTAAAATCATATGATAGTATTGAATGGTAGTTCGAATAGCAGTTTGAGTGGCATTCAAATCGTGCTATTCAACACGGTGAATTTTTAAATTTTACTAGTATTATCCTTTAATTATATAATAATGTTTAATACTAATTATATTTCAATTTTAATTAGAAAAAAATTAAATATTAAGGATGCTATTTACTATATATCTGAGTCTTGGGATGCTGTTGAAGATACAGTAATCATCAATTGTTGGAGAAAGACTGGAATCTTGGCATCAGTTCTCTGTGAAAAAATAGAAGTCGCTACCAATAGTCAGGATGCGCTGTTAGAACAGCAAGAAGAGGATATCAATGAATTGGTAATAGATTTGACCTCTCAGGACCCGGACCTGGAAATAAAACACCAATTAAATACATATTTAGACCTTAATGATTTGTATATCATAACTGAAGAAAAGCTTGAGAATTCAGAGATTATTGAAATTGTTTTAGATGAAGCAAATCAACGTGATAACGGAGATCCTGATGATTCGGACGAAGAACAACCAGAAATTCCTATTTCAGAAGGGCTAATAGGTTTAAATAAATTTATTAGCTTCTTTGAACAACAAATTGATGAAAAGTTTAAAGCCAAGGATCTTAAAATTTTTCGAAAATACTTAGCTCTGATAAACAGAAAATATGTTGCATCTAAGCGCCAAACGTCTATTAATGATTTTTTTACACTATTAAATAACGAGGAAGATTATGATGTCACGTTGTGATGATTTTTTTTTTGTCTTCTATACATATATTTTATAGTATGCGTATATTTTATCAATATTTTGATTATTCTCATTAACATTAAGAGAAAAATTGTAGTAACTTGCGTGATAAGGCAAGACCAACTTGATTCTGTGGTTTACATTACCCCCCTCCTCAGCATGCCCCCTCTCCCTCATAGTAAAAAAAATATACATAGGGCTATGGGTTATTTCGGAAAATTTTTATATAGTTACGGAAAATTTTGGAAAAATTTTTTTTTGAAAAAAAAAAAATTTTATGTAAACTACAACCCCCTCTTTTGGAGAGAAGGAGTAATGTAAACCACAGAATCAAGTTGGTCTCGCCTAATTAGATATAGTCCTCAATATATTCAGAGAAAATTTTCAAGAATCAAAAGTATTTGGTGTGTTAAAATGCTTTTGGTGAGTCTATTATACTGAAAGTGAATATCCCAATTATAAAGTCATTCAATTTTAGGCATAAAATCATTAAAAACAAATTTGTATTAGCCTAATAAAGCAATTGAACAAATAATACATACGTACGTATATACATTGTGAAAGGGTAAATTGTATCCTGGTTGTTGCTGCGGTCTCAAGGTAGTACAATCCTAATAATCCTTGAGATCATGAAAATCACAAAAATCATGGAAAAATAAGAAATTTTCGTGAGTCGCAATAATAGTTGCAAATTGCAACAAAGCTTGATATCCATAGTATAGAATAGATAGTAGCAATTCGAAAGTAAAATAGAAAAACAACAGATTAGTTAGTATATGAAAAATTATTGTTATTCATATAATCACGATATATGAAAAATAATGTATAAAAGCAACGACACTTTCTTTCAAATAAAAGACACACAACTCTTGATATCAAAACTTCGAAGTTAATATAGTAGAAGTATCCAAGTAGTATTCCAAACCCTTTGCATTAAATTATATCAGTTATATATTCATATTTTCTTGTCCTCGTGATCCTGTCGACTCGTTACGATAATTCGTTAAAAGAGAGAAAGAAAGATTGTACAGCATATGCAAAAAATAAAAAATCTAATTATAATATATTATAAGATTTACCTCTATTAAATTACATTAATTATTTTTAATATAAGATATGCTTATATAGAGGTAACCTTTATAAAGTCACACCTCTTTATAATCATCTAGTTGGTACATACCCAACTGTGTGATTATAGAGGAGGATGATTGTAGTTTCTTTTTTTTTTGTTTTGTCATTTTTTTGTATCGTTACTAATATTTTTTCTTTTTTATAGGCTTGTACTTTATCAGGAAAGGTTAATAGAAACTGGAATTGAGATCTTGAACTCAGAACTAATACCAAGATAAGTGCTAGTTTATTTTTTCTTTGTTTTGTCATTTTTTATATCATTACTAATATTTTCTTTCTCTTTTATAGATCTTGTGCTTCGCCAAGAAGGGTTAATAGAGACCGAAATTGAGATCTTGAACCCCAGAACTGGTACTAAAATAAATACCAGAATTTTCTTTGTTTTTTCATTTTTTAGTGCTGTTACTAATACATTCTTTCTTTTTTGTAGATCTTGTACTTCACCGAAAAGTGTTAATGAAGTCCGGAATTGAGATCTTGACCCCAGAACTGGTACTAAGATAAGTACCAGTCATAATTTTCTTTGTTTTTTCATTTTTTAGTGCTGTTACTAATAGTTTCTTTCTCTTTTGTAGATCTTGTACTTCACCAGAAAGGGTTAATAGAAACCAGGATTGAGATTTTGACCTTGAAACTAGTACTAAGATAAGTACCAGTTTATTTTTTCTTTGTTTTTTTTTTTATTTTTTAATGCTGTTACTAATACTTTTTTTCTCTTTTGTAGATCTTGTGCTTCACCAGAAAGGGTTAATAGAGATCAGGATTGAGATCTTGACCCCGGAACTAGTACTAAGATAAGTACTAGTCATAATTTTCTTTGTTTTTTTTTTATTTTTTTAGTGCTGTCTTGTGCTTTGTCGAGAAGGGTTAATGGAGACCGGGATTGAGATCTTAACCCCGAAACTGGTACTAAGATAAGTATTAGTTATAAATTTTTTTGTTTTTTCATTTTTTAGTGCTGTTACTAATGCTTTCTTTTTTTTGTAGGTCTTGGGAAGGGTTAATGAAGACTGGGATTGAGATCTTGAACCCCGAAACTGGTACTAAGATAAGTATCGGAATTTTCTTTGTTTTTTCATTTTTTAGTGCTGTTACTAATGCTTTCTTTCTCTTTTGTAGGTCTTGTGCTTCGTCAGAAAGGGTTAATGGAGACCAAGATTGAGATCTTGATTCCGGAACTGATACCAAGATAAGTACCAGTTTATTTTTTTTTGTTTTTTTCATTTTTTAATGCTGTTACTAATACTTTCTTTCTCTTTTGTAGGTCTTGTGCTTTGCCGTGAAGGGTTAATAGAGATCGGGATTGAAATTTTGATCCTAGAACTGGTATCAAGATAAGTACCAGTCATAATTTTTTTTGTTTTTTCATTTTTTAGTGTTGTTGCTAATGCTTTCTTTCTCTTTTGTAGGTCTTGTGCTTTGCCAGGAAGGG